AACTCGCACCTCCTCCTGCCTCCTTCCAGCCGCGGAGGTCGAGACCACCAGCTGTGCCTTTCCTCTGCCTGCGGAGCAAGCTTCTGTGCACCAGGTTCTGCTTATCCTGGCAAAGATTCAAAAAGTTTGTTAGCCCTTGCGTTTACGTGCCTCACTTTCTAGCTTAGTTCGATAAGTAACGCCTCCCGGTAGCAAACCTTCTGCGCTGTAGGAGGCATCTTTTGTAGGAATGCAGCGTTTTAAGCGTGCAGACGGAGGTCTGCTCGTCTCTGCTGCTGCTGTGGTAGTTTGCTGCTGGGCAAGGAGCGATGAGCAGAATTCCATCTGCACGCTCAGGGAACTCGGGAATTGCAAATTGCAGGCTCTTCAGGTAGAAAACTGGGTAACGTTCAGCGTGAGTCAAGTCTCTAAGCTGCCTGCGTTTGGGTTTCGTGACAGCCTAAATAGAACGGCTTGGTTTCTGCCTTAGGGCAGAAGGAAGGGTGGTCAGCTGCACGCTAACCTCCCTCGGAAGAGGTAAAATTCAGGAACGCACATACGTGTGGGGCGAAGGGAGATAATGAACTGCATTGCCCCTCTGTGAGGCTCTTAGCCTCATCTAGCTGGCAAGAAAAGGACTGTCTGGGATGGGTGGGTGCACAGAAAAGAAGTTCCCGAATAATGGGGAAAATACACAGTGTTTTCTGAAGGCGTTTTGCAAATGTAGCACTCAGACGTTCTGCCGACAACCACCACCCAAGTGGTTCTGGCTCTGAGTGTACATTGCAACGCAGAGCTGATCGTGCCCGATACTTAATGCAACAGCGAGTCCTGAGGTTACCCCACGACTCTGCGTATCCGTTCACAGTCCTGTGCCAGCAGACCTTTCCAGGGCGACGCGGTTCCTAGCAAGCGAGCACGCAGAACCGTGCACTCTTAAATTTGCCTCTCCCGGCCCGCGTCTCGGTTTCATCGCCTGTAAATGGAAATAACTCCGAGCTGGCTCATGCTATGAGCACCTGTCAAGCCCTTGTGGCTGATGCTTGCGTAACGTTTGGCGTTCCCTGTGCGGCTAAGGGAGCGAGATGCAGGCACTCCCTTTACCTGCTTTTGTAGATCTGGGTCTGAGTTGCCCCAAACCCACAGCTTGGGCCTTGGTTGAGGATTTGCAGGTGCAGCGTCTCTCTCTTTCTCAGACCTCATGCCGTTTTTCTTGTTGTTGCACAGTGGTTTGAGCCTTCCCAGTTTGGGACTTGGTGGGCAGTCCTGTCTACAAGCATGAACTTGGCTGGAGGCTTAGGCCCCATTGTCGCTGCTCTCGTGTCTCTGAACTACGATTGGCGCATGACTTTGTCCTTCTCTGGCTTCATCTGCGTGGTTGTCTCTTTTGTTTGCCTTGTCCTGATTAAAAACGAGCCGTCGGATGTTGGGCTACCCAACATTGAACAAGGAGCCAAGAAAGGCAAGAAAGGTGAGCATGAGACTTTGCCGTAAGCGGGCAGCCGCAGGAGAAGGTGCGGTGCCTTCTGTCTGTTCTGGCGCAAATGTGTCGCGCTCAGTGCACCGAGACCTCCGTCCTTCCCGAAACTGCTGCTCGGCGGGATGCATCTAAGGGGTTGTTTTCAGCAGCTTTATTCTGGTAACCGTTGAGCTGCTGCGCTGAAGTTACAAATCGTATAAAGCAAGCCCCAGTGTAAACTTGTGGGAAGGGGCCAGCGTGCGGGCTTCTGAGACTGCCGCAGCAAAGTGCAGCAGAGCAGAGGAAGAGCCTGACCGCCAGTTAGTTCAGCTGGCAGACCAAGGGAACAGAACTAATGTGTGTCTGTGCTGAGACACGGCTGGCTGTTTCATCTCCCTGCCTGCGTAATGTCTTCCTGCCAACAGTGCCCTCATTTTCTTGGGGCTTTATTTGCTTAGGCTGTGACCCGAGTCTCCTGGGGGAGAGAAAAAAGACAACAGCAGGGAATGCTTCCTTAAGCCTGACCTTGCTCTCCTCCATGCTACCGGAGGACAGGTAGTTCTCCCCTCACCCCACCGTGGGTCCTCTTGACCCCTGGCTTGTGGTGGACTCTGCTCAGTGTTTTCTGCCCTAACCTAGGACAGCTGGTTAGTAAATGTTTGTTCAGACCACTGAGTTGGTGCTCCTCTGACAGCAGGACAGGTAGAGGGGGATTGCAACAGAGGTTCGCTGTAGGATTTTAAAGGCCGGGGGAAACTCGTCCTGCCTTCCCCGCTGCCCTGCGATGCCTGTGCTACCAGACTTGACCTCTTTGTGTATAAACCCAATATTGCTTCCCCAGAGTCTTCTCTGGGGAGGGGAGGTTTGTAGTCATTCTCGGGTGGCTGATGCAAAAACGAAAGTAGCACCTGAAAGTCAGCGTCTTTGGGTCTGTGTAGTGGCTTTCACAGGCAGAGCAAAAATCTGGAGAAGCCGATGGTTTTTCTAACAACCTTTGCGAAGGGTTTATTGCAAGTGCAATACAGAAAATTACTGGGAGTAGCTTTTTGCTTATTCTTTTGAAATCTTTAACGAATGTGGAATAAATTGACAGAAAAGATTCTGAAATCACGGCAAGCCCAGACCAAAGGGGAGGGAAAGCCATTCGCTGCTGGTAGCTACGAAGAGCTCCCTCTGTAAGGATGCCCTTATGCATGAATCCTGCCTGCAGGTGTGTCTGTGGCGGCGCTGAGTCGGTGTGGGTCAGTAGCCGTGCTCGAGCAGTGGTAACATCCCTCCCGATCTTCCCTACAGGTTCCTCCAGCGACAACAGCACTTTGACAGAGCTGCTGCTCTCGCCGTACCTCTGGGTACTCTCAACGGGCTACCTGGTCGTTTTTGGAGTGAAAACGTGCTGTACCGACTGGGGACAGCTCTTCCTGATCCAGGAGAGGGGACAGTCCATGCTTGTGGGTAAGATGCAAAGCTGCCTTTTTAAGCTTTGTGGCTGCAATTTGGGAGGTGTGGCAGAGAGCTCGACTGGGCACAGCAAAAGGACACAGGCACCTCCGTCTGGGGGACTTGTTTGCTCGCCTCCTGCCTGTCCGTTTAGGTACACGTAGCTACTGAAGTGACTTGCCACTGAAGTTACTGCACGCGCCAAGCGCCCCAGTGCTGCCTTGTGCCAGGGCCCTCTTGGGATGGGCAGACGGGCGTTCCTGTGCAAGGATGAGCTGGAGGTCTTGTCCAGCAGAGCCGCTCTGAGCTTGTGGTGAGCTGACAGCAGTTGGGCTTGGTCTAAAGCACGCAACAGCTTTGCTGTTGTGACCAAACCTGATGGCCTGGTCTTTGCCTCGTCTGCATTCCAGGTAGTTCCTACATGAGTGCCTTGGAGATCGGGGGTCTGGTGGGAAGCATTGCTGCTGGATACCTTTCTGACAGAGCAGTAGCAAGAGTAAGTAATCTGGACCCTCAGGTGTGCTGGGCAGTTGACACAGCGTCAATCGGAGCTGCTTCAGAATTTTTACGTGTGTTTTTTGCTTCCTTCCTGAGTGCTTAAAGACGATCTTTTATTTTTCCCCCCCTCTCTAATGCTTGTACCAGTTGTGGAGCGGAGTGCTCCCCTCGTTTACATTGCTCTGGAGACTCACGATACCCAGAATGCAGAGGCAGGGAGGTGCTGCCTCATGCCAGAAAACAGCCATTCTTGGTACCATGTTTCTTCCTTCTGTCTTCCCAAGCTCTTCTTTTGCATGCGGTTCTGTGTCTAAACTGCCCTGCTTTGGAATGGGCCTTCTGAAAATCAGAGCGTTCTTGATGAACCCTCCTCTTCCCTTTCACGCAGCGGTAGGCTGGGAGGGACACAGCCCACCTCAGCAGCTCAACCGAGGTGTTCAGTCAGGGTGGCGTGGCCACTGCGTGGCACAGCTGAGAAATGGGCCCCTACCCCGTTCTGCCATGTGCTTGAGGACGACCGCTGAACACCCTAGAAGGTGTTGGGAAATACGTGTGCCGGTGTTAGGGATTGCAATACGCCTGTCGGCTTTAAGGTGTCTGAGCTGTTGAATTTGTGGGTTTTACTGCGCTCTCTGGATTTCCACGTTGAAAGAAATATGATTGTTGATAGCTGTCTTCTGGCTGAAAAACCCCCACGTTACAACCCAGTGGTGGGATCTGAAGCCAAATTCAGGGTGGAAATAGAGCGCGGGTGATGACAGAAGAATCGTTCATCACAGTCTGACTGCGGGCAGCCCTCGAACCAAACCAAGGAGTCTCGCTGAAAGGCGTGCTTTTGATGTGCCACCCCTGTTCCTGGCTGGGCCGTGTGGGTGGCGTTAGTTACTACGAGCATATGATGGAAGGAGTCCTTCCGGTTTCTGACCCTCGGTTTCCCTTCCTGGGTTACAGGTGGGTCTGTCAAGCTACGGGAATCCTCGGCACACGCTGCTGCTTTCCATGATGGCTGGGATGTGCGTGTCCATGTTTCTCTTCCGCGTCACGGTGACAGGCGATTCCCCCAAGGTAATCCATGCACGAGCAGCTGACCCTAAGTTGCAGGGGTAGGCCTCTAGTCGCGAGGAGTTTGACGATGGGGAGCGTGACTGCTTTCTTCACCCTTCCCGAGAACCGTAGGTTTGCGTTTCCTTCGTTTGCGCTGCAGAGAAGCAGGCTGACTTAGTCTGGTTTGGGCTGCTTCAGCTGCCGAAGTCGGCTTGGGTAGCCTGCCGAACCGGCTGCAGTGGAGACGTGACTTGCATCTGCCCCAGTGATAAATGAAACCTATTTTCTCCTTTCCGTTTTTTTTTCTTCTTCAGGAAAATCACTTCTGGACTGTAGCCTTGCAGCCTCTAGCTGATCTTACAGGCCTAAAAGAACATGAGGTTTCTGCCTTGCGTTTTTTCTCCCTCTGCCTGTTTCTGCTTTCGCTGATCTGCCTTTTTCCTATCCTGGGAGGTTGGTTAGCGCTCCAGAACTTAGAACCAGGGCATTGAGAAGATTACTGTAAGTTTTGTAAAAGAAACCTTTTCTTGTAATCATTTGATCACGCTAACTGACTCTGAAAGCCTGAACATAACATTTTTCACTTCTTATATAGAAGAAGGTTCTGAGGACGTTTGTTCATCAGGTAAAACGTAGCCAGTTAGGGGGTCTTGCGAGTGAGGTCAGGAGGAGCGATTCTGTTCCTGCAGGTGCCTTCCTGCTTAGCTTCGGCAAGCATTTTCCTAACTCTTTGTTTCTGTTTCCCCTCTGGAAAAAAGATGGAAAATACTTGGGCATCTTGAAATGGCATTTAGAGTTCAGAAAGTGTGCTGTAATCTTGAGGTGGTCAAGTTACTTCTCCCTTGTTGCCCTCGCCCAAGCGACTGATAAATCCTGAGCCAGGTAGCTTTCTTAGAACGTAAGCTCACACTGAAGCTCAGGCTGTTGGGGTTTTTTGGCTTTGTTTCTCAGGCTGTTGGGGTTTTTTGGCTTTGTTTCTGTGTTTGGTTAGTAACATCGAGGTTACCAGATAGTGGCTACAGGCAAATGAAGATGCTCCCATCAGTCGCTTGCATCTAAAATGAGGAAAGCTTTTAGTTGGTGTCTCCAGGATCGTTTTTAAAAGTGACTCGATTCACAGCTCTCTCCTGTGATTTCACGAGCTCGTTGCCCATCTCTCTTCAGCGTTCTGGTTCTTTCTTGCAAACCAGCACCTAGTGTATGCACTCAGCATAGGGGGCGGAACTGTAGGAGAGGGGAGAGCTCGCGCTGGCTGAGAGGGTGGTGTGGTGGAGGTGCAGCTGGGCTGCACGTACGTGGGGTCCGCCACGGGCTTGAGCTCTTCTGTCTGCAGGCCAGGGAGCTGGTGGCAGCCTGAAAATGTCAAAACCCCCTCATACCGTGCATAGGCTCTGAGATTTGTCAGCAGCTGCTGATTGACAGCAGTGAGACGCACAGATCCTGTTTCTGATCTTAACTTGTTTTGACAGCTGTGGATCCTGACGCTGGGAGCTGTGTTTGGGTTCTCCTCCTATGGGCCGATCGCCCTGTTTGGAGTTATAGCCAACGAAAGTGCCCCTGCCAACCTGTGCGGCACCTCCCACGCCATAGTGGCCCTCATGGCCAATGGTGAGTAACGCCCGTTTCCCCGAAAACCAAACCAAGCCTGTGGGTGTTCTTCCTGACACGTGGTCTAGCCCCTGGGTGCCAAGTTACTGACCGCGGGAAGCCGCCTAAGAAGCAGAGATCATGGAGTTGGAAGCCTCAGGGATGCTTCCTGCTGCACCCGACAGGTTTTTGCCTTGTGCTTTAAGTTCAAACCAGGCCCGAGGAATTTTGATGTATGCAAAAATGAGTACTGGCAGGTAAAATTGACATGCTTGAGCGTTGCTAATTTTCTGCTTATTTTTCCTTACAGTTGGGGGTTTTCTGGCTGGACTACCCTTCAGTACCATCGCCAAGCACTACAGCTGGGCCACGGCCTTCTGGGTAGCCGAAATCACCTGTACCGGTAGCACGGTGGCTTTCTTCTTACTGCGGAACATCCGCACCAAAATGGGCCGGATTCCCAGGAAGGCTGACTGAGGAGGAGCTGTTTGGTGAAAAGAACGCTCCCGTGCTGCTGTGAATGATGCTCGGTTTTTTGTTTAACTGGCCTAGGAGCGAGTTTACTTATTGCTGCAACCTAGATAAAAGTATCTTGATTTCTCGTCCACTGTCAAGTGCGTGAGGGCACAAGGTTCCTGCTACCGATCACTTTTTCTCTCGAGATAATTCAGCTAGTTTACATTCACAATGATTTTGCTGTACCTCCTTCTCACAGCACTGTTGGGGAAGCCAGCGGGCTTCGCAGCCTGAGCTTCCCCACTACCAGTGCTCTAAAATGACTGGCTTTGGGTGCTGTCATGTTTAGTTTTGTCCTTTCTGTTTGTCTCAGCTATTAACTGGCAATTCAGCCTCGTTGTCCAGGGGTGCTAAAGCGAGCCTTTGCCGCGTTCGTTCATCCCCTCCGGCCACTGCAAGCGCAGCCATCTGGCTTTCCTTAGGCCTGAGCTCCCTGCGCGCTCTCGGCAGAGCAGTGAGTGGTGATCGTTAACGGTTCAGCCTCGTGGCTGATTTGAGAGCAGCGCAGCTTTAGCTTTACCCGGGATTAGGTGTTAGGAGCGAGGGTGGTATTTTGCTCTGGACGAACGGAACGCTGACACGGTGCTGCGGCAGGGCTCTCTGCGGCACTCCAAAACAGGCAGGTTTCCGAGAAATTCTTGCCGCTTCAGGGGAGACGGTTCAGAGAAGCTCCTTCTGTTGAACCGATCCCGACCAGTGCGATTTCTGTGTACAGTGTTAATGATTTGCAAGGGAGGCAGCTGCTGCCAGGTCAGCTCATAACAAGCGCCCTGCAAATCAACCAGGAAAACCGACCTGGCAGCAGGTATTGCGACAGCAGCTACTGCCGGCCCACAACTTCTGCAGCTGGGTTTCGTGAAAGCCCGTATTTTTAGCATCAGCTTGTATTTTTTTCAGCGCAAGGTGCGTCATCTGGGATGTTTTCGGTCAAGACCTGCATCTCTCATGGCTGCGGGCAGGGGCTTGGGCTACCTCTGAGAGTCGGCCTTAGCAGAGCCACCGCCGACAGCCAGCGCCTTGAGCAGTCAGGCCCAGCACTCTGCAGTAAGGTTTTTGACCAGGCTTCTGTTGAATATTCTTGGTTTTCCCCGAAAGGATATACTGCTTGAGGGTCCGGGAAGAGGCAAGTTCAACTCGTGAAGGACCCGTGGGCAGGTACTTTGCCAAACAGCTTGGTTGCGAGCAGGTAGCCAGCCTTAATTAAAACAATGGAAGTGAATGACATTTTGTACTTAATTGTATGATCATCTCCTATCTGTGAAATAAAAACAGAGCAGTGTCACAAGGGCTCTGGTTTTCTTACGGAGAATGATGCAAGCAGAACTACCCAAACCCGCTCATCCTCTCGAGGTGCTGCCGCAGCGGATTTACCCTGCCAACAGAAAACAAACGGCCATCTGCCTCTTTGAGGAACATTTATTACTTCTATGTAGAAACCCTCTGCAAAACCATAAGTTAGAGCTATACAGGAAAATCCATATATACAATTATGAAATGAAAGAAAACCATCGACTCTGGTAGGGCCACGGACCCGCACCTTCTCTTTCTTTCTTCACTCAAGGGCAGGGGAGCCGCAACAGCAGCATAAGCCTCTGTGGCCCAGTGTAAACAGCAGTAACAGGTCTGTTTAAGGTAAATTTCACAATGAGGGGGCATAAAACAGTATCTTGGGAGATAATGAAGCACATTTCAGGGATATGCAGTCTCTGCTGTGGAGGAGAGCACTCTGGGAGAGGCCAGGCGGGGGAGAGAGAGGCCCTGCTCTTGGGAGAAAGGAGTCCGTGCAACAGGCGAGGCTTTCTCTACGATCCAGGTCCGAAGGGTCCAGCTTTCTCTGCCACCTCCAGAGCAAGTTTCAAGTTCTGGTCAAACAACTCGCATCTGAAACGGTCAGAAAAGCAGAAGGGGATGACTTTACTTGCAGAACAGGCTAACGAAGATGGGACCTCTACATCCTTTGGCTCTGCATCCTTCAAGGAGAGATTATGCAAGTCATGAGACCGCAACCCTGACCGCTGTTGAGCTTTGGCTTGGCTGTTACACACGAGTAAAGCTGCTCCAGGGTTACGTTAGGACAGCGGGGATTGTAGCAAGGAAGAGTGGCGCTGGAAAAAGCACAGGTCAGTGTCCCGTCCCTACAGCAGTGCGCTGGGCCTTCCCCCTCCCCTCAACCTCGGGGCCCGCTTTGCTACTTCAGGGCTGTGAGCATTTGTTACTGCACAGGCAGAAGGTGACAAGGGCTTACGGCTGCGTTATTAAAAGTGAGGTTTTCCTTACCGGATTGGCATCTCCAGGGAGTAGAAAGGATTCTTCAGAGCAAAGTCGGAGTAAATCTCATAGATCTTGCGGAGAAGGGCATCTATCCCCGCCTGCCTCGGGTCAGCAAGAACCATGAATTTGATGCCTGGAGCCACAACGACAGAAGTGCGAGGAAGGCCGAGCTCTGTGACAGCCCCAGCAAAGCAGAGCGGCTCCGGGGGCCCGGGGCAAGATGGTACCTGTCAGCGTCTGGAAGCAGTGCAGCTTGAAGGTGTCCGTCTCCAGCATCTCGATCCCGGAGCTCCCGACCTCGGGCGACAGCTGCGACCCGATGGCGAAGAGCC